GATATGTTTCCAAATTATCCCGAACCTACTCAGGAGACCAACTACGACGATGTACTACCGCACCATCCAGCTATGGTGGAGTTCACAGTGTCGCCTGCACTCTCGCAAGCGAAGTCCTGGCGCGCACAAAGCTCAATTCGTAAAACTCCTTGCCAATATTCGAAATTTCACGCCCATCAAGAATGTATACGTCCTTCGCATCATCTTGTAAACTTGTCCTGATTCCTCTCACGTCCATCCCAAAGAGCTATCTCCCAGATTTGTGCTCCACGTTTTGCTTCCTCCGTCGGGTATAAATATCGGCGTGGGCGTGTATTTGGTGACCGGCTGAGGCCAGAGAAAGTCGACGAGAGGTGTGATCATTGGAATGAGAATGTACTAGGTCGTACTTGTAGACTTGATGAAGCTTAGTTGAGAATCGGACTCTTTGGGAGTAAAAGATTGACATGGTGGAGTAATTTGAAATTTTGCCTCATGGGCCAACTTCTTTGATATTGCGAAATTTGACTGAACATGGCTCTAGGAGAATATTTCACTTCCAGGTTTGTAGAGGACACCGCGTACAGGTGTTCAGTCTTGTCCTCCACAGCCACGTTCGTAGAATACAACGCGTGCAGTTGTTCAGCCCTATCCTCTTCTATCAGTGTGTAGAGGTTATGCTGCTAGTGGTAGACGCTGAGACCTCGCCAGCCTTGGCGCGTACCCCGGTGCTGAGCATCCCAGATAAAGATTGTTGTAGGGACATGAGAATGATACAACACTGTCATCCCGATCAAAATTAAATCCCTGTTCTGTATACACTGAACCCAATAAAAATTCACTCGAAAAGCATGACATTCCCCAAACCTATCGCCAGCCTATCGACGGAGATTGTAGATGAAGAAGACTACATGAACATGACCATCGCCGAGCCGGTCATTGACCTCCATAGAGAAACTTACACCCAGCGACGTCATCGCAAGGAACGTGAAGCAGCTCTGCGTGGGCGCCCCAAGAGTAAGCAGGAGCTAGCTGTTGAGGAGCGGCGGGCGCGAGATGCGGCACTGGCAACATCACTTCTCGAGAATCCAGTAGCAACTAAGACCAATAAGGGGCTTGCTATGATGACCAAGATGGGCTTCACGCCAGGCGCATCCTTGGGCAAGGCTGGCCAGAGTGATGGAAGATTAGAGCCCCTCAATATTTGTGTGAAAGAGGGTCGAGGCGGTATTGGGCTAGATTCTGAACGCAAAAGATACTTGCGCGAGGAGTTTGAGAAAGATTCCAAGAGAGCCAAAACTGAGGAATTAGATTACCGTGAGAGGGTTAGAAAGGAGAAGGAGTGGAGCAGGCTTGAAGCTATGGTGGGCAAGGCGATGAGAATTTGCGAACGTATGGAGGCCGAGCGATCAGAAAACGAAACAGGGACTACGATTAGTGCTGGTAAAAATATCTCTACAAAACCATTGAAACAGATTAATGTTCTCTGGCGGGGTGTGGTCCGCGATCGGGAAGAAAAAGAGCGAGATAGACGCATGCGATATGATCTGCAGCAAAGTCTTAGTCGTCTACCAACATACGAGGATCCAGATGAAGAGGCAGACGACAAGCAAGCTCTAGGAACCAATGGAGTGTATAATAATCTAGTTGAAGATCTCGAAGAAGAAGACGATGAGTTAGATGATTTTAACAGGCTGGAACCTGGAGAACGGCTACAAAAGTTGGTGGGACACATGAGAATTGAACACAACTACTGCTTTTGGTGTAAATACAAATATCCTGACCAAAATCTAGAAGGTTGCCCAGGTTCTACGGAAGAGGATCATGATTAAATTTAAAACTACTATTTGGCGAACACGCTTAACACCGAATTTTCGCAAAAATTGTGCCTGAGATTATTTGTGACTTGCCGACTGACTCATGTGCTAACTCTGCGACTTTGAACTTGTTTCAATAGGACTAAAGGTTAAAATTCTGACCAGACATTACAGCGTGGTACGCCCATTTGTTCAGCAGCCTGCTCAGCTAGCAGCAATGTAGAAACGTAATTCTCTCTTTTCTCTCCAGCCAATCGCGCATCAGCGGCATAATGAAGCATTTCTGTCATCATAACAATTGCCTCCTCTTTTCTTTCCTCTGCTGAAAGTTGATCAGGATCGATGCCATTATTCATTAAAACTTCTGCACGCTGTTGTTTTATCTTGTACATGAATTGCATGACATTTCCGATCCTATCCTTCGTCATTGGTAGTGACAAGTCGAGTCGCCGTGGTTTTAACCCCACAGAATTACGTAGGCCACATCTCGCAATTTGGAGAACAACTGTGCGAACACAATTTTCGTCTGGAAATAAATTGAATTGCTGCTGAAGAGCTCGTAATGCAACAGCAGTTCCAGCTAGATCCTGCTTAAGACTAAAGCTAAGAATTATAAGATCATACAGCTCCTGTGGAAAACTTTTTTTTTCGAGAAAAATTGATTTCCATTTCATCGTTTCTTGAAAAAGCTGACGGCAAGTTCCGATACTTCGAGACTGCCATTCTATCTTTCGTCCAACGGAAGGATCGACTGATATCTTCATAAGGTTCCACAGCAAAATGAATGTTTCGGAATCTGGCCTGACGCCCTGAGCTAATAATAATCTGTATGTTTCATAAGCCATACTAGTTTTGTGCTCCCTTGTGTCTAATAAGATAAGTTGATTCATGTATCTTGTGTTGGGTTGAATTTTACACTTCAAGAATGCTTCAAAGAGAGCAGACAAGGATTCGTCTTTCTGGTGTTGTCTATATTGCTGGACGAGTAGACAGAAAGTCTCGATTGAAGCGATAGGTAGTAAAAAGGCCGACTTATCACCATCGTAACTTGCATTCATATCGCGTCGTAGAGGGTATTCAAAGTAATGGTGCCTAATTGGCTTTTCCATGAATTCTATTCTATTTTTGATCATTCTCCAAGCTAGATCGTCTGCTGCTGCGAATTCACTGTCCTTCCCACGACGAAACCAAGCACCAATGAGCCCATTAACGTGTATTGGACTTGGCCGAATTCCATGATCTTGCATCAAATCGAGAACTCTTTTAGCAGAATCAAGCTGATTGTCACCTATCAGCTTCTTTAGCCAGCTACCAAAGAAGTATTTGTTCCTAAACTTAGGGGGTAATGATGAAAGAGCCCTAGAATTCTTCCATTCAAGCTCTGACTGTTCGATCTTGACACCATTGAAGTCATTTATTATTCCAGAAAACCTTTGAGGGTCGTTCGAGTCCTTAAATTTACTACAATCATCTCCAGTTAGCATCATGTCTCTAAACACTGCGAGCGCCAAATCTGGTTGTTCTGACTCCAGAAACCACGATGTGAGCGAGTCATAATCTACCATTGTAATTTCTTGATCAAGACAGGCTTTAAGCCTAAGATAAAAGGCCCAGGCATATTGAGCTGAATATTTCTTTTTAGAAATAAGGCAAGCCCGTATGAGAGGCATCAAGCAACGATATCGAGAAGGTTGGCGTTTATCTTCAAAGTACATCTCAGCTATTTTGGTAGCCTCTTCTATACGTCCTGTTTGAGCTAGAATTCGTATGCCTATTTCACAGTATTCTTCCCACAGTGGATGATCTCGATTGGGTTCATTTACCTTCCATTGATCAATTGCAAGCTTACGAGACCCATCTAAGAATAGGGCTTCGATGTACAGCAGTCGCCGGGAGGGAGATAAGAAAACCCCCGCTTCGTCCATATCTTCACCCAGTCTTCTTATATAAGTCAGTCGATTGAGATTTTTATTTGACTCAGACCCAAGTATCCGCCATAGGTCGTCCCATATTGTCGTAGGAATAAGATGCGATGCTGAAAGTAAACCTTTTCGTGCAAACATATAACTCCGTGCTAGATGGCTCCTGAGCATACTTTTCGTAACTTTAACAACCTTTCCTCTTACTTTTTGAGTTCGACTTCGCTGAGAACAGACCTGCAGACAATCTTGAAGTGATGTTATGTTTGATTGATAAGCTTTTGGGAATCCTGAGACTGAAAATCGCTGTGGAGGTGGTGTTTCATCCTCTAATGAAGCCTCTTCATTGCTTAAAATTGGATTGGTCCGTTCCAGTTCGGGCTCTTTAGAGAAAAATTTGGCCATAAAAATCTCTCTATACCCCTTGCTCTTTTTGGGGGTTTCATTACTCTCTTCATAATCATGGTCTGTAGAGGATATCGAACTGGTAGATTCTGAAGATTTTGATTCTACTGGATTACCTAAATCATAACTTAAGCTAGCTACCATAATAGAGGAGATGATCATACCAAATACACCGATTTTTATAAGATCATCTCGTAATCGATCTTGTTCTTCCAAGGATAATTTTTGAAGGTCACCCGCTGCTTCCACCCTATCAGTGAAGGCTTTGAATTTTCTGCCTTTTTCTTCGAGGGCTGCAAGCCCAGGGTCAATTTGATATTCATTGGGACTAGATGACTTAAGTATCTTTCGAAGAGTGGGCGCACTATCCTTTAGTGTATTCTTCAAGTTATCGTCAATCAGCTTGTCCCGTACCTTATCCTCGTATTCGTTATCAACAAATCTTTCTATTCGACTCCCATCAGGAGACTCATCGTAGAAATGAACTTCTCTGTCTAGATGAGCTGGTTGGCCCTTAAAGCCTTGTGAAAGTATAGCAGAATTATTGATGAATTTCCTGGTTAATGACTTCTGCTTCTGAGACACTAGTAGCTTGGAGCGACAAGAACGGCATACAAACTCTCCTATCCGAGTGGCCAGCAGGTTCCTTGGTGGAAGCATCATCAGTGAACGATAGCAATGTTAGTGATAACACATTTATTTCAAACGATTTACGTCTATATTCTCTGCTTCTGTATGACTCCAGTCTGCGTTTAGTTGTGACCTAACTTTTGTTTACTGATAGTTGCTTTTCGAAGTCATTTGTTCGACCATACAACCTCGTAAGGCTGGGACATCAGTTGAATGTCTCAAAATAATCAAGTAGATATATTCAATGTAGATGCTGAGGGAAACAAAGTTGAAGTCGATCTCTCTTATTCGCTACAAGGTAGATTTTTTTATAAAAGTTTCGCATCACTCTCACGTCGCATACAGACGCGGTGCGCGAAAAGGGGCAATGTCGGACCATGAAATGACCAATGCCAACAGCATTGATCCATTAGATTACGAGGTCCACAACCCTCTTTTTGTGAGATAAATTGCTAAAAAGCTATTTAGGCTTGCTACGTTTATAAATCCCAACATGAAGTCTCACATATTGCGCCACGTCCAAAAAAGAGGAGAAAAATAACAAGAGTGTCTAACATATCCGGAGCATCTGAAATTTCGGATGTTCTTAACTTCAGACCTCTACTTCGCGGGATCGAGAACCAACAATGCTGCAGGCTACGATCTGAGTTATTTGCAAATTCGTGGGCTGTGACGGAAGCTCGAATCCAGGTGAGAAATACGCAATAATCAAAAAATTAGATTAAAATTTCTCTAGGAAATACTCAACGATGCTAACAATGAAACTCTGGATAGCATTCTTGAGTTTGTGCTTAATGCTGGATGGGAAGAGTGAGTTACCTGGATTTCATGCGCTAGACGCCATCTGACGTACAAGCAGAGATAGTTATACTATTCCCACTGGGTTCATTGTCACCGGACCAAACATTTCCTCACAGGAGTTTCTTTTCAATCAAATTTCTAGTCGGCTTAGAGCCCACATAAATGGATCAGTAGTAATCATTCGTTCGACAGATGTTTCAAATATCAAGTCAGTTCTTAAGCAACTCATTCGAGACGCAATTAGTCAGGGCTCGGAAATATTAGACGATAATTCATCATATAACATAGAAAATGTGAGCAATGCGAAAGATTTGTCCTATTAGTCTAATCCAATAGGGACGAAAACTACTGAATTTTGATTTGAAAATACTCCACAATTTTGTCAAACAACACGGTAGTACGGCAATAACAATTGCTTTCCAGGATAGCGAAGCCTTTGATACAAAAATAGTAGGAGAGTTGGTCGCTTTATTCAGGTAATTATTCTCCAGCCTCAAAAGTTATACCTTTTTTGACCCAGAAATAGCTCTTGGAGAAATCGTATTCCATTTGTACTCATTTTCGGAATTGCAACTTCTGTCGGCCTTTTTCGTGAAAGAATATCGAGGGCTGCTACAACACGACTCTATGGAATACAATTTGAGGTTGAACAGACCAGTTCTCTTCTTGAACGTATATTTCTAAGGGTTGTGGCTGGGGCAAAAGTACCCTTGCGTCTTGGTCCGGACCTAATTTCAGCAATTCTAGAGCGTCAACAGGATCATGTTCAAAGTATACAAGCCTTTGTTGCAGCACTTAAAGTAAGTTGAATGCATCATGCTGTAACTACTGACCAGAATTAGTACGCTTACATGTGTCACTTTTACTACGACGCCTTGAGTGTGCTGAATTTAACCGGAAAATCAATACAGCTTTCATCAATTCTGCAGAAGGAACATTTTGAAGCTGTCCGAATGCTGAAATCTTTCCGTAACTTCATCGAAGATAATGTTTGCACAAATAGCTCAAGAGAACAAATGCAACTAGCTCAAATGTTGTTGACGGACGATAAAGTACTGTTAGATGAAATTAAACGATCAATAACAACCAAGAATCTATCTGTCATTCATCTTTTGAGAATAATTCATGTACTAATAACAGTATCTCCGGAGGCTCCTCCAAAAATATACATATTTCAAAAAGCCTTTCGAGATGGTGTTGAAGATTTAGGACTAGTCCAAAAACTAATTAGCTCTTTGAAGAGAATGATACCTTCTGAGTTATCCGATTTTATTAAAAAGATAAAAGATGCAGTTTATGGGGGAGCGCCCGAACTAGATCTCTCTGGCTGGGCCGATGAGGAAAATGAATTTTTTACGGAACTCACCAATATTCAGGAAAAAATATACGCGCTAGAAGAAGCAAGTTTGGGAGTAGGGCACCGTCTCAAGAGTAGTTATACAATACACAACAAGGGTCTTCGCACCACGGTTGTCGCGCAACGTATTCAACTCAGCTACGAGGAATCAACGCTTACATCTGAAGATAAAAAATACACAGCTCTCGTTGATCAACTAACGCAGCTCCTAAATAATTTTTTCAAATTTAATAAACTAGAACCCGAATTCTTGCATGAAGTCTGGACGTTTGATTCTGTGCAACGCTTTCGCGAGGCCTTCACTCCCCGACCACGAGCGGCAATAGAACGGGCCCTTTCTACACCCTCCGATTATCTTAATAATTTTGAAAAATCTTCCCGTGGCTCGTCAGCTAGACCTCAAGCGACAGCAATGCTATACCAGATGTATCTTGAGAGTGGAGCACTGATCAACACCTACGATCTATGGAAGGTATTCTCCAACGCTATAACAACTAGCAGTGACCAAAAGTTGGATGAAAGGGATACATTAGTCTTTTTCTACCAGGCAATAGCTAATCTGAAGATGCTGGGCATGTTAAAGCAGAGTAAAAGAAAAGCTGATCATTTAGCCAAATTGGCCTGGAAAGGACTATGACACCTAGCTCTAAATTTTAATATAATTCTTCTATCCAAATTCAGGGGTTCTATTCTTCATCATGCGATAATTTCCATCAATAATGCATGGAATTGAACATATTTCTACAGAAATTTTGCCTCAGATTTTCTAAATTGTAACTCCATTCACCTTGAAATAGCTAACCTAGGTTATCAAAGAGAGATGTTCAGTTAAAAATAGTGACTAGATAATCCTACTTCGAGTGAGATCCACGTACAACACAGGAGGATTCTGATATAATTCGCACAGCTTACATGAGCAGATGGAAATGCTACTTGTAGATAGATTGCAACAGTACCATTGCTCTTATTAGATACCAGACGCTCTATCTGTCTTTGAATCAATCGTATCAACAATCTTCCATTCTCCTGAGACACTTATTACTTGAAGACAAATCTTCGGAACTCACTCTATCTCACTTGAAGGAGGCATTAAGATTATTCATAGTGTAAAATCCACATATTTCACTGACTCGCGCTTATATGACTTTCTATCTCATTCTTACTAGAGCAGTATCATCTCTGTTTCTTGAATTGTTGTATGTAACTATACTTAGTTTCCAAAATTCTAAGGCCACAGAATCAAACCTAGAGAATGTTCATTTGCACCTCTGATTTTTGGAAGCACCTTGCATGAACTTTCCGGTTTCACCAAACATGCAAATGAAGCGCGCAGTTATTGAATATATTAAATTTTGACTCATTAACCCATGTTATATGTCCTAATTGGTAACAAATTTTGGACCCACGGAGATGGTGAACCGTACTAGTAATGGAAAAAGCTTTCGAGCTACAAGATCCGTAGATCAGGCATGATGACACAGATATCATCACGCCGAGGATTTATCTTTTTTCTATTTATTTTAGTTTCTCTCCAAATTTAGTTTCTCTAACGCCATAGGTTATTACCGGTTGAAATTGGAAGTAATCTTTCCATTTTCCTCGTTTTTTTTACTCTTTTTTTTTTGCATCAGATTTTAATTGCGTACGCAGCTATCTAGCTACGACACAATATCAAAGAAAAGTACAGAAAAGATGACTCAATTTACAAGAGGAGCACTCATGCCTCGGATTTCATTTGCAAGTACCACTGCGAAGTTATGGCGGCTTCTTCTTCACCCCAAGTCAACCCTTCCGTGAGTACCCACCGAGGGGAACGTCTCAAAACCCCCGAGTTATTCGGACATGCCTCTATCACCTATTTACATTTCTCCGCGCGAAATGTGGTCTTGGGCGTCTCCTTCCCAAGTGGAGTAGGTGCCCAGGCTACTCAAACCATACCAGAGAACATCACCAGGAGGCGGATCACAACACCTTCCATCGTCGGCTTGTTTTTATGGTGTCAACTGCACTCTCGCAAGCGAAGTCCTGGCGAGCACAAAGCTCAATTCGTAAAACTCTTGTCAAAACTCGTAATTTCACGCCCGTCGAGAATGTATCCCTCTTCTGCATCATCTTGTAAACTTGTCCTGATCCCTCTCATGTCCGTCCCAAAGAGCTATCTCCCAGATTTTTGCTCCACGCTTTGCTTCCTCCGTCGGGTATAAATATCGGCGTGGGCGTGTATTTGGTGGTCAACTGAGGCCAGAGAAAGTCGACGAGAGGTGTGATCATTGGAATGAGGATGTACTAGGTCGTACTTGTAGACTTGATGAAGCTTAGTTGAGAATCGGACTCTTTGGGAGTAAAAGATTGACATGGTGGAGTAATTTGAAATTTTGCCTCATGGGCCAACTTCTTTGATATTGCGAAATTTGACTGAACTTGGCTCTAGGAGAATATTTCACTTCCAGGTTTGTAGAGGACACCGCGTTTAGGTGTTCAGTCGTGCCCTCCTCAAAGCCCTATCGCACTGGCTCGCCAGCTGAGGAAATTTCTTCGGTGTCGTTACTCTAAATTCTATGCATTGCGTAAGCCTTTAGTATCTACTCTTGTACCCTTGCAAGCAGCTATGCAGGCTGCATATTTTCTGCATCACTCATGTATATTCGAACGAATGTATGCGCCATCGGCGGCGCAACTACTGACGCTTACATCCTTGGTGCCAGCAGTCCCTTAACTTTTGATAGAACTGCCTTGTGAGTGGTGTCAACGAGACTCGTCTTGCCTAATTTCTCCAGGCCTAACATCCTTTCGTCCAGAGAAGATTTTATGGTCTGAATCTCCTTACAGATCTTATCGTGCAAATTAGAGGCCCTCATGGCCTTCGTAATATCTTCTGTTGTATTGGTCATTCCATCGTCATCTTCATCGTAGCAAGAAGTCTTAAGCATCTTTATTAGCTGCCCCAATCTTTTAGGCTCTATCCTATCGGTGATTTGTGCACATCACTTCCTTAAGTTTTTGATATTTTTACAGTTAACGACGCATCGAGACTGTTGGATTTCATCGCAGTGAATTCTGCTTTTACCATTTTGTACCACGGCGTTTAATGTGGTGCAGTCGATCCAAATAAACTAAAAAACTAATATCGCGGAGGAAAATTATTAAAGATGGCAGTATAGAGCGCTACCCAGTTATTCACGGAAATTGGTGTTCTTCTTTACACATTAATTTATCAATGAATTCTAGAATTTGAAAGTTGTTGGTCGAAGAAATAAAATATTATGAGTGATGAATCCTTGGTTGATGGTATGATAGGGTCATCTTCTTTACGTCAGGGTTAATGAGAATGAGTTCGCCGCAGCAGGAATTAGCGGTTTGAATTTGATCTCATTTATCCTGTTAAGGTATCCTATGGGTTCATGCAGGTATACATAGCCATAATATTTTCATAAGGGGGAAACCAATTCGATGAAGCCCCCTTGAATTTATCTGTCTTTTTTCTATCGGATTTCTAGGGTTTCCTTGAGGAAGTGCGTTTACTATGTTCATCCAGTGTGAATTCCATCAATTATTTTCCCGATCGCTTCAGCCTTTCATTGACTGCTGTCTCAGCTTCTCCTGCAAGCCGGTCCTATTGGAGCCAACAATCGCTAAGTATCCGCTCTGTTGTAATAAAACAGTTGTGCATCAGTTTCGATGCAGGATCTCTGTCTGTGCACTACTACATGTAACTCTTTATTCACTTGTGACTAGATTCCATGTTTAGTGTAGTCACGTCTGTTTCTTGTCTTAGTCGCGGGGGTTCACTAAAACACAAGGCTAAACTTTTATACTTAGGTTATGAGTAGATATGGAATGATGAATAAACTTGGTATAACAGAGAAGAACAGAGGATGATAATCAGAGACTGAAAATATGTATTACTTAATTAATACAATCGATGTCGTAACCGAGGTAGACAGGACTGATATATATACATGCTGTACACCCATGATACAGTCCATAATCATATAACCAGAATGTTCCATAGTCACATTCCATTCCATTCTCTAACATGTTGTACTAGTAACACAAAGCTCTTGGTGTTGATCGTAATAACGGTCGTGCAGGGACCACATGGACCCTGCATACTGCACTAGTACATGGATATGCTATATCCCTGTAGATAGACAGGGATGGCCCATAGCGGCTCTGACAGTCATATCACAACAAAAACATCATTTGGATAACGTTGTCAAATTGAGACATTGGCACATATCTCATCAACCCTCCCAACTTTCGTCATAACAAGTTTGATTGCTGTTTATAGATGTAGTCTCTCTTACCTCCAGAGATCTTCAGTTCATTGTATTAACTAAATATCTCTGAAGGCTATATTCATCGCTCCTCTCGTCAACTCCACAGTTTTACATTTAAAGCTCCGTTCACCTGCTCCTGTGCTCGAATACCACTCTTCCTTCCTCTCCAACAGCCCGAAATCCCTCTCGATCTTTAACCTCACAACACAATCTACAATTCTCTTCATGTCATCCTGGCTATTCGTCATAGCTTCAAAGAACCTATCTTTTACCTGTTGCTGCATCTCTCTTCTTTGCTTAGCCCACTGAGGACAAGCCAGGACCATATGTTTCATGTTTTGTGACGGATATCCACAATGGCATTTTGGATTTGCCACTCCGGGACTTTCCTCTACGTAGATAAGAATTGAGGCAGATATGATACCTTTTCAACTGTATTGTTAAACTACTTTGGGCCCTGCTAAAGTTTCCGTGGATTTTAGTGTGTGTTTCTGTTGGTGATCCTTTTTATGCCTGTTCTCTTGTCGGTGACGATGCTTGGTGCTTTCCAATGTTTTTTATTATTATTTAATGTATATTTAGTTTTCTAGCTATGACACATTATTTACATAATTCTACAGTAGCCACACTTCGCTGTGAGTGAGTTAGAGAAATCTCATTCGGTCACCTTGTCCAGTGCTTTTCTGCACTGGCGACATGGCGACTAAAAAGTGGAAGACGGAGGGCATCCTCGCTGGTGGTCCTGCCCGGACCTTGAGGAAGGTTGCTGTTCACTGGAACGTCCAGGAGAGTGGAATATACGCATTGGCTATTCGGGGGATGGCAGGGATACCTGTGACTCAGAGACCATGGATCAAACGCCTAGGTGGTCAGGCATGGAAAGAGGGATTGAAATGGAGGCTCGGGCGCGTGGGGGCTGAGGTAGAACGATGAAAGGAAGATTGATGAAGTTTTTCTTTCGTACTGCGGAATTTCGTGTGGGAGTTTTCTTTTGTTTTGATTCTGGGCTGCTGGACTCGTGATTCAACACATAGGTGTGTTTCGGCATGGCTCCGGTCTTTTTTTTGCATCAGATTTCTAATTGCGTACGCAGCTATCTAGCTAAGACACAATATCGGAGAAAAAGTACAGAAAAGATGACTCAATTTACTAGATGAGCACTTATACCTCGGATCGCACGTTAATGAACAAAAAACGCACAATTCGAGAAATTCGAAAATTCGAAAATTCATTTTTTCCCTCTTTCCTCCCTTCTCGACCTCGTCGTATCCATCTCTGAATTGTGATCGAGCTTAGGCATTTTCACCATGCCTCCAGTTCGAAAAAGCGTCCCAACGCCAAGTTGGACAACACAAGA